CAATTATTAATAAATTCATTATTTATTTATATAACAAAAACTATCCTACTAATGTATTATTAGTTTATATCAATTAATAAATACAATGTTCTCATTTAACTTAATATAAAATAACATAGTTAAAAATTTTAAAAATTACATTTCAAAGTTGTATTTTTAATTTTATTAAATTTTCCTAATTGTTAATCATGAATTTTGATCTATCACAAACAATATCCCCGGAATTGCAAGTTAGAAATGCTGATAGCCATTTTAATCGTATTGGTTTATCATTATTTAATACTAGTCCAATTTCTATATGCTATATACTGTATCATCCATTAGTATTATTGGCCATATTTAGGGTTGGCACTATACAGCACCACACTGCACCAGCTGCACCACTGCACCACCAAATATTGGTCAGTATCAACATAACCCGACTGCACCACCATGTCATAAATATTAAAATTTTTTAGACTTGTAGATCAGATTATTTTAAAGCAAAAATTTTAAACTTGGTAAATCAATATTATGATTTTTGAAACTTAAACTTTAATTTGTAAATTTTTAATTATTATTGTTATTTAATCACGTTAATTATTTAGCTTATGATAATGCATATAATGTAATATATTCAAAGTAAAAATATTATTTCTAATTACAAATTTTATATCTTCTAATTATATTAATGTTTATAATTAATTGCCAAAATGTCATTTTACAAATATAATTAGTTTAATAATTATTTATTTAGATTTTTATTTTGCTTTATGTATTATATAATGCATTATTTTACATGCTTGGGGTGCAATCATAATGGTGCAGTCATGGTAGGGAAGTCATGGTAGGGAAGTCATGGTGGTGCAGTCGGGTTCCATTGATACTGACCGATAATTAGTGGTGCAGTGGTGCAGGTTGTGCAGTGGGGTGCTGTATAGTGCCAACCCATATTTAGTGTACATCTAATAAGAGATTTGTATTGTTTTTCAATAACATTTTATAATTATAAAATATCATTGCTAAACAGATTTTACCTCGGTGATTTGGAATATTTTAGCGGTACAGGGTACTCGATAAATTTGAGAATGTTTATTGCTAGTTTATTCTCAATTATTATGCAATGTATAAATTATTATAATTATAAATATGGTATTAATCTATCATATTTATCAATATTTCAAATGATATCGGGCACTTTGTCACCAAAAGCGGTTGGAATTACCGATATACAATTGGTGTATAAATTGTCACAGGTTACTAAACAAACATTTTTTGTATGCCACCTAGCTATATTAATAGGCATGTTTATTGGTTTCACATTTCCATTTAGCGTATTGTTGACTAGTGTTGATATAAATATAGTTAACGTATTTATAACACTTTTGCATTCTATAAGCTATTTATTTTGGGCTAAGTCAATGTACGATTTATTAATATATCAAACAGCATATTATTTTATTATCATCATTTATTTAAAAGCTTAAGTAAAAATTATTAATGCAAATATAAAGCAACATTTACATTTGCATAATAAATCACTTAACAATATATTTATTATAATTAAAATAAAGCAATTAAACGCTATTTATAAAGAGATTTATGAATATAATCGCAATTATTGGGCAAAATATTTGTTATTTGTTTGGTTCTTGTTATCCCTTATAATATGTTTGATATTCAATACGGTAATATTTAGTAGAATTAATATTATTAATAGGCTCATCTTATTTATGGCCAGTTTATTGTTCATATTTTCATTATTGTTTATAATTCATATATCGGCAGCAATTTATATAACAGCTAATAAAACATATTTATTGTTATATTCTTATATTCCTCATACAAGTACTATTTATAAATTTAAGGTAAAATTAATATTGTTCTCTCTCTCTCTCTCTCTCTCTCTCTCTCTCTAATGTTAATAATGATAACATTAATTAAATTTCTATACAAGGTATTAAATACACTAGAAAGAATAACTGTCCGTAAAATTGGTTTCTATTGTGGGACGTTATTTATTATTAACAGTTTGCGTGGATTTGAGGTGAGATAATATAAATTAATGTTTTCTTTTGTGTGATCATATTTTTACTATTTTCCCTATTCAGATTTTATCATTTATTATTATATTGTATTTACGTATTTATCGTGAAAGCACCAAACTGTTTTAAATCTTTTAATTTAAAATGTGATTATTATCAATTAATAATCTAAGCATTTAATTAATGGAACTGACAAAACATTTAATTTTATTGGTCAAATTTAACCATGATAATATGATTTGAAAGAGTATTTATTGAGTGACAAAACCATGGCATCCATTTGTCTGTATGTCTTGTGGTTTAAGAGTAATCCTGTTTGTTTGGTGTGTAGAAAATTTCAGAATTATGATTTAAATTATTGTATAATTATAAATTTTTTTATAATATGCAATAATTTTTAAACTGAGCATCTACATTCGCTTCGGTATATGATTTAAATTTATTAATTAATATTTAGTTAGATTGTATTTTTTAGCAATTAATTTTTTGCATGAACTTTATCCATAATAATTCTAATTATTTATGAGGCATCACTGAATTCTTTTCTGGTTAACACTCTTCATCGATTTTTAATTAAAATTCAAAGTGCAAATAGGAAACTAATCTCCCAGTGTAAGCTTCTAGGGTTAAATTAATTTTAGTAGCACTTAACATTGTCTAATATAGTTTTATTAAGGATATGCTAAATAATACTTTTACCATTTATTCAGGCATAACAATATTTATTATTAAATTATATATTTTCTGAATTTAGCACGTGATTAATACATGATTGTTAATTTGTTTATTTCAGTTCCTCTGTTAATTATTACGTTAATTGTTTTGTTTTTCATAAGAAATTAATTGCGTGATATAAATGCTTTACATATTTCTATGTCATATATTAGTTATCACAATATGTGTAATAATATACAATTCATTTATTTTATTTATCATTAATGGTATATAGAATTTAATTCAATAACAAACAAAGATTTTATGTAACATTCATATAATTTGCAACTTATTTGCTAGAATATAACTTATAAATTGCAGAATTAATACTGAATGTAATAAAATTTATTTTGTATTTTGCATTTTAATATGTTTCATGTAAACGTATATGATAAATATAATTACTTATCTTGTGCTATTATAAAATTATAATTTTAGAATTAAAATTATTGTAAATAAAAAATGTTGCCTTATACTTTAATAGCGAATTTAATAATTTACGGCATATTATTGTGTGGCTTTACATATCAAACCTATCAAATCTGTGAAATATACTTATCATACGAAACCACAACTAATGTCAAGTTTAGCGATGAGTATAGTCTACCGGCGCTAACACTATGTACGAACACCGAAAAACTAATTCGACCCGAATTTAAATCTAAATACATTGACGAGAATAATACATTTATACCTGAGATATTTGCCAACCAATCTGTAAATAACCAGTTTAATCAACTTATTCACGTTAATGATTTCTTTGAATGCCATAGTAACATTAAAAACATATACAATAATTGCGATTCCGTAGTACCGTATCGCCGGTCCATCGCTTTCATGGGTATGACTTGTATTACAGTATTATCCCAATGGAAGGGTGAGTCAGATACTCGTTATACGGATAGGTTTCACGACATTAATAATCCAAACGCCATTTGGTTAAGATTTCGCAACAAATATTTGATCGATACGATTGCTATTAAAGTGCATTCGCGAAGAGAACGGCTACGGAATTTCTTCAACTTAGGGTGGAGTTTCGATATCAATAAATACAATGATTTAGAAATATTGTACCGAAAAGAAACCGTAAAATTAAATCATATGTTAAATACAAATAAATGTTTAGTGAGTGAGACAAATGAGGAATGCGTAATGAAATGCGTTAAACAGGAATATGACAAACATGGACAAACATCACAATTTATTGTACAATACAACGATGATGGTGATGCTAATCGAAGCTATTTTATTGTTAAAGAATCGCAGGAAAGTGATTATAGTTTGTTAGATAAACTTGAATTAAATTGCAAACGTGAGTGCAGTAAAAAAACTGTGTGCGTAAAAGAATATTATGCACTTCAATACAAGACCGATAATATAACAGATGATTTATACGAAAATAAAGTCATTATTGCATTACATTTCCCTCGAGAACCCGAAAAGTTATATGAGATATCATTAAAATTGTCTTTCATAGAGTGTGTGCTGTTTATCGGATCGCTGTTTGGTTTATGGTTCGGATTATCAGTTTCGATGTCCATTGAATTGTTCTCACAATTACTTACAAATTGTAAAACATTGATTTATAATAATCGTCACATTATATTTAATAATATAACAAATCATTGGCATTTAATAAGTAATCAATTACATAACCCACGAGTTTTTCGTCAGGTAAAACGACGTGCCAATCCACAATTGCAACGTAATATTGCCGATTTTATTACTCACTAATTATTAACTAATTTTTATAATATTCAATAAAATTTATGTTTCCTAATTGTTCTCTATTTTCATAAAGAATTATGCAAAATGTTCTTTTTTATTATTAAAATGTGATCACACTAAAAGCGCAACATAATTTAGTATATTTGTGTTTACATAAATGTAAACCCTAATAAAATTAGTTGTTTAAAAGAATAACGTTTTAATTTAATTAATATTAAATAACTTTGAATTTATATTTTCTGAACAATTAATTATTAAATTATGTCTATAATAAAAATTAGATTAATACATTCGACAAACAATATTTGTTACTTATTTTAGCTTATCAGTGTTATATAAACTCTATTTATGATTATTAAATAAAATTACATTTTAGATAAGCAGTTGGAAATAGCAATAAAATAATAATTTTTAATGATTAATATTTATTTTAATTGTATTTTTAGCAATTAATTATTTTGCAACTAAAACCATAATACTTTTACTCATAATGTAAGTTTTATTAAATTTAATAATCTCACAATTGCTGAACAATTAACAATTATCGTCGGACCACTGCTTTTCATACTTTTGTCGCAACCAATCATTACGGCTGTCCTTACAGTCGGTGTCCGAGTATATTGTATTCAACGGGTTTTGAGCCAAAAACGACTCAAACACCGTCTCATTCAAGAACTCAAACTCATTATAGTATACGTAGAGATTGACGGGTCGTTTAATACTCGTCAGCGCCTCCTTCACCAACACATGTGTCGACAACTTATTATTTTCCAGATGTATATCAAGTTTCTTATCGCTTGCTTTGAACTCCACGGGTGTTTTGCTTAACCCTAACCACGAGCCAATTAAGCTAGGTAATTTAAAATACATTTTATCTTCATGTTTCTCATCATTAGCGCCGGGTGTCGGGCCCACAGCGAACGCTTCGGCCGACACATCAGCTATGCTATTAAACCCGAGCCATAAACCGGTCAATGAGGGCAAGTCTGCGAACGCATGTTTGCCCAAACGTTGAAGGTTACCGTCACCGATAAAAATTGTAGCCAATTTGGGCAATGACTGAACCGCCCCGTCGGGCACTTCGGTCAGCTCCGACTCCCATAGCTCTAAATCAGTCAACCCTTTCAGCGTCCGTATGGCAGCGAATAAGTCATACTCGCCCTTAGCATCGCTAATAGGCGTATGACTTATCTGTACTGATGTTATAGTGTCACGTGTGGGCCCGGAGAACGCGTCCCTGTGTATAGGGATTGCCATATGTTAACAAATATTATTAAATTTTAATTTAATAAATAAAGTAATTTATAGGGAGTTTAATGTTTAATATTAATTAAAGTTTGTGAACCTTACTTATGTATGTGTCGTAGACTACGGGCGTTGTCCACATGTATTGTGTCAAACTGTATGTCGGCAAACACACCAGCGGGCAATTCAGTGATGGCCTGATTGTAGACCTCGAGCTGCGAGAAATGTTTTGATTGATTTCCGAGTTTGTGGCTCAGGTCAAGGAAAATGTCGGTTAAGTTGATCATGGTGGTGCCCGTGCAGTACACTATACAGGCATCGCCAGGTGTCTCAAAGTAGCATGGTGGTTTAATGGCTGAACGTGGTGGGCATATGTGGCTGCCATATGTTTGCCGTATTAGTGTAATAAAGGCAATAAAATATACTATTGAATAAAATTTGTGTGATTTTAATATTTGTTAAATAGTAATTTTATTAATTTATCACGTTACTTACGTGAAAACATTTTTGTTGTTAGAATGCAGTCATCAGATTATATTAAGGTATATTATTTATAAATTACTTCATGAATTGGTATACGAAACTTATAATAAATATTGTAAGTTATAGTGTAATAATAATAAGTTCGTTATATGTTACATAATAAATGTATAATTTTCAAACAAGTGTTTATTAATTAATTATATTTACAATTTACTACATTAAACAATGTTTGGGTACTTTAATTATTAATTTTAAAATACACTTTTAAAATCCCACATGTTAACTTCATGTAGCATACTGTACACTACTATGTAAAATGTGTATAGTATAATAAAATATCAATATAACTCAATAATAAATACTGGTACTTAAAATTCATAAACGTACATGTGTCATATATAGTTCATTGTAATCTTTATTGCAATTTATTCAATTAAGCTATTTTAAATTACAGTGAAAAATTAAAATAATATTTTACTTAAAATTATAATAATTACTTTGTTTGACATTTATAAATTTTTTATATAATATTTGTAAGAGTAATTACATTCACCAACATCGTATGTAATAAATTCATTTAAAATAAATTCTAATAAATCCATTAGAATAGAACAATTAATGTTAATTAGAGTTGTGTGCATTATAATTAATATTATATGATTATAAGCAATATACAATTAACTAATTTGAAATTATTTTTTGAATTAATTGACTGGGTCAATTCTGTTTAAATGTAAGCATCTGCGTAACTTTAACACGCGTACATTAATTATAATATTAGTGGTATAGCTTGAAGCATGCTTAAATTTACTAAACTGATTACAGGTAAATGCAAACATTCTATAAATATTAGTTTTCCATTTAATTTTCACTAACAATTCATTTAAGGTTTTAGTGAACGCAATGATAGAGTATCCAAACCATAGACTAATAATACTCACCGTTAGATTACAAGTAACATCCCAATTATAGATTTATTTTATAAGGTTAATGATTGCACTTACAATATGATAAGTATTTTAAATCATATTGATAAAATTATCCTTCAAATCACTTAACCTATTTGATAATAACATAGAAATTATATTGGCTTAAACCTTTTAGATAGTTATATTTTGTTATTATAAAACAATAAATACTATTTGTTATAATTTAATTTGAGTAAAATGTAATGATAAATACAAATACTGTATTTTCACAAACATAATCCGTGTCCGTTCATAATCTAGGACATGCTTAAAATTAACAAATTACTAATTAAATTATTTTGCGTATTTGTTATATTAGTATTATATTATACATTCATTCAAATTGTGAATAATAATCCCATCAATAAAGTGCCAAATACTGTACATTACATTTTATTTAAGGTACGGGGCGTACAGTTTGCGCACTTTATATCAATACTATCTGTGCTGCGGAATCAACGCCCGGACAGGATATACATTCACTGCGATTGCCGGGAACTACGGGGTGACCACTGGCGCCGTGTGTTAGCCATAGCCCGCCTGACGGGCACTGAGTTAACGGTACGGACCATTGATAGGCCGACCGAAGTGTTTGGCCGTAATCTGAGCGAAGAGTACGGCTTATGGCACGCGGCGGACATCACACGCATTCAAGTGCTCCGCGAGTTTGGCGGCGTTTATCTCGACCGAGATGTTTATGTTGTCAAAAATTTTAACGAGTTTTTCAAATACGAAATGACTATTGATTTTCAAAACCAAAACGAGCTTGGTAGTCAGGTAATGATTGGTGAGCCGTATTTGTTAATAATAAATTTTAGTTAACACCTAGTTTATTTGTCTAACGACATTATTGCAACTTGTGTTTTACAATCATTTTACAAAATAGTTACAATTTATTTATTTGAATAACAATAAGTTATTGTCAATAAAATAATTATAATTTTAATTCATTACTAATCTAGCTCGTAAAAATGCCCGATTTCTAACTCTATATTATGATACATACCGTGAATACGAGCCCAACAAATGGTATTACAACGCAGGCATTAAACCTGTGCTACAAGTGCTCGACAAACAACCCCACCTAATAAACCGTATGGACGGCCAGTTTGGTGTCCGACAGTCCATCTGTTCATACCTTTACACCCAATACCACAAGAATTGGCAAAATAGTGGCTATTATTCAATGCATTTATTAATGAGAAGCCGGAAGTTGTCGTCAATTGGTTGGTGTTTAGGCGGCAAAACACCCGCCGTTTACCGCTTTAACGAGACTATTGTTCGGTCGCTAAACACAACTTTTGGTTCAATGGCTAGAGATGTGCTCGACTTTGAATTGCAATTATTAAATAAAGTTTAAATAATTTATGTAAATTATATCAAAAATGACTAGAGTTATTTATAAAACCAGTGAAATCAACTAATGTAATTACATTTGAATATTTTATACATATTTGCTTTTAATTATTGTAAAATTCTATATACGTGTATATTATTTAAATTTAGTGCATGTATTAAATGCATTACATTTTCAGATGTATGCATAACAAAATTAATTGATTTGATTAATGTGAAAAATTGTATATTATTTGCTATTACAAAAATGTAACATTAATATAAATTGCGATAATTATAAAAATCTATTTAAATTTATAATAGTTTCCAAATTAGGTGACTGGTGTAATTCTATTTAAATTAAAACTTCTACGTGATGCTGATATATTAAGTTTAACGCTAAATTGTACATAAATTTGAGTGCTCACCCTAGTGCTCACCCGAGTGCTCACCCGAGTGCTCACCCGAGTGCTTACCCGAGTGCTTACACGAGTGTTTTAAAGTTGTTACATGCAAGTCAACTAAATGTGAACACATTTAACGGCAAAATTATTAATTAATAAAATTTTTGCAAAGATTATTTTACGTTAACAAAATTGTCATTTTATTAAACAATCTTATTATAATAAAACATTTATTTGTTAGTTGTAATAAACTTATAAAACAATTAATAAATTAATTTAATTATAATATTCACATCTAATAATTAATAAAACAACCATGACTAGTTAAATAGTTTACTAAACATTATTAAGTATTTGCAATTCAAAGTCGAGCACATCTCTAGCCATTGAACCAAACGTATTGTTTAGCGACTCAACAATAGTCTCATTAAAGCGGTAAACGGCGGGTGTTTTGCGGCCTAAACACCAGTTGATAGACATTTGCGATATCTCTTCGCCTCTTATAAGTAAATGTGTTGAATAATAGTCACTATATTTCCAATCCGTGTTGTCCTCAGTGTAGAGATAGGCGCAGATTGAGGGCCGGCACCCAAACTGGCCGTCCATACGGTGTATAATGTGTGGCTGTTTGTTGATCACCTCATACACAGGCCGTATACCCGCGTCATAATACCAATTAGCCGGGTTGTATTCGCGGTATGTTGCGTAGTATTGAGGTAGAAATCGAGCATTTTTAGTTGCTAGGTTGCAAAGTAAATAGTGTATATTAATTGCATTTTTAGTTATATAAAATTGATTTATTTTTTAAATAAATTTTTAAAATGTATTTTGTAATTATTGACGGGTAATAGTGTTTACTGCAATGTATGCCAACATTGCAGTGAAGCAACACTTGATAAAAATATATTTAAAATTTTACTTTTAATATAACTCACCAATTAAAACTTGACTACCAAGCGTGTTATCGCTTTGGAAATCAATTGTCATCTCGTATTTATAAAACTCGCTAAAGTTTTTGATAACATAAACATCTCGGTCGAGATAAACGCCGCCAAACTCTCTAAGCACTTGTATGCGTGTAATGTCCGCCGCGTGCCATAAGCCGTACTCTGCGCTCAGATTACGGCCAAACACTTCGGTCGGCCTATCAATGGTCCGTACGGTTAGCTCAGTGCCCGTCAGGCGGGCTATAGCTAACACACGGCGCCAGTGGTCACCGCGTAGTTCATGATTATCGGAGTGAATGTATATCCGGTCCGGGCGTTGATTTCTGAGCACCGATAGTATGCCAATAAAGTGGGCGAACTCTATCTCACTTACATTAAACAACACATAGTGTATAATATTGGGCACTATATCAAAGGGGAAACCACTTATGTTGTACTGATCCGGTGGGTCCTGTGTTACGAGGGTTGACTGTACCGGTGTTTGTTGTTTATTGCACGTAATGTTGTTAAATATATGTTTATACAATATATGATAGTCGGAAAAGTTGTACACAAGTTTGATGAATGTAAAACACACTAATATCATGGCAACGGCGCAAAAAATGTTATGTGATAATTTTTGTGTTTTAACCATGCTGCTAGTTTTGGAGTCACACAATGGATGACAATTTTGTTACCATTTATCACTAATGGCAATAAAATATTATAAATATAAAAATAATTATTATACACAATACTGAAGTATTAAATTATCAAAAATATTTCATATTATCATTTATATTAAGCAATAATAACAATATAATAACTTAGTTAGTTATAATATACATTGTAATACATTATAATACATTGTATATAATAATAATTGATAATACAAATAAAATACTTTAGTTTTAACTATTATATTATCTGATATTAAATGATAGGCATTACTAGATATACTAGGCATTACTAGAGTAGACATGTTTTATCACGTTTTATTATTGCCTACAAAAATAATGAATGTTTTACTCAATATAACCTTACGGTATATAAAGTTTGATTAAACAGTGGAAAAGTATAAGTTAGTGAAATGTTATATTAATGACTGATAATGAACGTTTCCATAACAGACCATAAACTATCTAGTTCAGATCTAGTTCGATATGCGACAGTCAATGTACTTCAATAATAGGATTTAAATATTTCAATACTGAATTTATCTCCACATTAAATAAACCGGCAATTGATAGGATAAGGTTTAATACATGTAATCTTCACTTAACATGCACTTTCTTACATTGACTAACATACGGTACAGTAGCATAAAAAATGTAACAAATCACTAACATGCTAAAACCTAAAAATTTGCAAATGTATACTGTATAAAGATTATTATTTTGTCATAAATAACATAGTTAATTTGTACTTAATATTAGTTTTACAATTATAAATTTAATTAATCATGTCACAAATGTAAACACAATTGCTAAATGATAGTGCTAGTATTTTATAAGATAACAATATATTTTTATATTTAAACTAATTATGTTTTAAAATATAAATTACAATAAAGATAATAATATTACTTGCATACAACGGATCATTGTTAATGATGTATTTAATTATTGTATAACAATAAGCATGTACAATTTTAAAACTTACCAATAAAGTAGCTCTTGTGCAAAATAAATATTTAAAATTCGAAAATAATTTTTAAAGCAAATGCTTATTATTAAACTGTAAATATAAATTTACATGAAATGTACGTACTATTCCCGTAAATCCATATATGACTAACATTCTCGAAAATAATCTTGTCACAATTTGCTTTGCTATAAATCAAATAATAAAATATTTAATTATAAAATAAAAACTATTGTTGTTTAATTGGATAATAACCTTTTAGTGGTAATTAAACCAAGTTGTTATATTTGTAATATTTTAAATAAATCATCATTTATTTATACAATTAGTAATTTAATCACAAACTTGTAAAAGTATTGGGCGTATTGAGTACTCAAACTTAAACATGGTTGTGATTAAAATCACATTAATACGAGATTAATTGGAACGAACTCACAAACGTACAGAACACGATGCTTAATACAATTTTATCTAACTATAATTTATCTAGTATAATACAAAATCTGATATACAATTAATTGAAATTGAAATGATTGCTTACAGTTATATGAAATAGTGAACATTATTTTTGGTGATGTTAGTGCTATCGTATAACGCTATACCTGTATTTCAGTTCTATTTAACGAAAAGTGAAATACTTATAGAATTTACATCTAGTTATAACTATTCTATTACAGCATTAATAGAATATTAATATTATAATAGATAATACAATCAATATTTAAGTTAATAATAAATTCTCTATATAAATTAGATAATATTAATATTCTATGTTTCAATTATATTTTTTCACATAAATTTATAAAACAGGTACATGGTACATAAAATTTTCTATTCCGTATAATTAAATTCACTATATATGTATTTTATAAAATATTATTAATGTCTTGTTTAATAAACAACAATTGATATTGTTGATTGTTTATAACAACGTTATATAAACACTTTAATGAATCACCTACAATATATCCTGTATTCTTATCGCACATTTATTGTATACAATGCACTTACAATATGATAAGCCTAAAGAATAATGACTCATGAGTCACGAGATTAAACCAATTAAAATACAGTAGACATTGGATTATACCATGTCTTTGAGGCTGTCAAAAATATGTGTTATAATCGAGTTCTGTTATAATCAAGTACTTTAACAATACTAATATCGCTTGTTGGGGCTTACAAAATCTTATGCTAAAACCGAATTCTGTTATAATCGCAGCTGGTAAAACCGGGTATCTACTGTATAAAATTTTAGAGCTTGTTTCGGAATAACTTGAGTGACTAGTGTTCATCGGACAGTGCGGTTGCAATACAAACAATAACTGATAGGGATATTAACCGTTATATACTGTATAAAACTTATGGCACGCGGCGGACATCAAAAGGATTAAAGTGCTCCGCGAGTTTGGCGGCATTTATCATGACCGAGATGTTTATGTCATAAGTGATTTTAGCAAGTTCATCGCATACGGTGTGATCATAGATTTTCAAAGACAAAATGAACTTGGTTGTCATGTTTGTAAGTTTAAAATGAATAATAAATTTTATTCAATACGTTTACTAATGAGTGGCCGGAAGTTATCGACAATTAATTCGCGTTTATGAGGCAAAACACCCGCCGTTTACCGCATTATTGAGACTATTGTCGCTAAACATAACTTTCGGTTTAATGGCTAATAATTGTGCTCGACTTTGAATTACAATTATTAAATAAAAGTTACTTGAATGAAATTTTTATGAATTGTATTTATTTGCTATATTTTATGTGTTAAGCATTGCTGACACTATTGATTATAAAAGTTTTAATTATAATTTAATAATAATTTTAAATAGATCTAAAAACAATCACATACTACATATATAAAAGTCCATTAATTATAGTATATTTTAGCACATTTCAGCTGCCTATGGATTGTGTGACTATATGTTTAATCGTCATGAACTGAATGGACAAATCGCATTTCAACGGGGTTTTCGTGTTCAGGCATTTCATTGGTGTCGTCGCTGTCGTCGTAGTCCTTATGTTGTGTCTTAGAATCCATGTCATTGTCTGAGAGAGAGAGAGAGAGAGAGAGATAATTGTAATTATTTATAAAGTAATTATTTATACTTTATTATAATAATATGGATGATCATGATAATTAATTAATTATACCTGTATTAGTGGCTGGTATTTGTGTAGTCGTTGTTTTATCAGATTTATTCATCTCATCATTATCTTCATGTCCAGCGCGAAGAGGTTTATCTTCTTCTGGAGTATTGTCGCCATTGATTGATCCAATTTTTGTAATCTTTATCCGTTTCTTAGTAACAGTGGATTCAATGCTCGGCATTTGTATAGTCTTTGTATTATTAGATTTGTTGATAATTTTGTTGTTTTTGTGTCCTTTACGGAGAGGTTTGTCGGCAATTGTGACGTCAGTTCTATCAGTAGTTGTAATGAGTGATGCTTTAGTTATAACAGAATTAGTGATTGAGTTCTAATACTTAATAGAATTGTAATTATTTATACCATAATCATATGGAGTATTTGTTATAAAAATTATAACTATTTAACCTAATGATAATTAATTATACCTGCATTAGTAGATTTATCTTCTTCTGGAGTATTGGATCCATTGATTGATCCAATTTTTGTAATCTTTATCTTTTTCTTAGTAACAATCGATCCAACGGCTGGTATTTGTGTAGTCTTTGTTGTATTAATAGATTTATTGATAATTTTGTTGTTTTTGTGTCCTTTACGGATAGGTTTGTCGGTAATTGTGACGTCATTTCTAGCAGTAGTTGTAATGAGTGTTGCAGTAGTTATAACAGATTCAGTGATTGAGTTTGTACTCAAACTCGATTCTGTAGTCAAAGTGCTGAACATAGCTGTAGTCAACGCGTTTGGTGTCGAACTCTCGGCCTCTGTATTCACGTCATCGACGCCTGACTTAACCATACGGTCTGTCTCTTCAGTTGTTGTTTCAGTCGTTTTATAAACTCTATTCTTATAGCGATTTACTATTTCAAAGAGTTTATGATTAATATGTTTAACATTTTCAACTTTGACTCCCAATTTGTTGTTATCTTCATGTTTTGATGCAATGATTTGAATGATTAATGAAAATAACATAAATAATAAATACATAAATATGGTTTTCATCATTTTTATTTATTATTAACTGATAATAAAATTTTTAATATAAGTTATAATTAAAATTTATTTCATAATTTAACACATTGGTTTATAAACAATTATTAAATAAAAATATTGATTCATATTATTTATTAACTATTATTATAGTTATTTCTATGAATAATAATAATAATAATCATTTTTACAAACCAATCGCTAAAGTCTCATTATAAATAATATTAAGTTCAAAAAATATACCATCATAATATTTTTTATATTAATTTATATAAGTCCTGTTCATTATGTTATCACTATAAATCATGTTAAACATAATCAATACATCTATCAGTGCTATAAAATGTAATATCAATTATTAGATGGCGTTGCGAATCCCGCCGTCGGCCACAAAGTTAACGCCCGTCACAAACGAGGCCTCGTCTGAGGCCAAGAAGAGTATGGCGTTCGCGATGTCTATGGACTCACCGACCCGTCTGACCGGCATTTTACCACTCAATCCATTATATATGGCCTCAATTTGCTCTGCGGTTAAACCGATTCCTGACATGTTGTTAGTTTTGACGCCTCCCGGACTTTGCAATAGGCATTAT